ACGCACTTGCGTGATTCTCACTGTGAAAATCACAGTGAGAGCACGCAAGCGTCCATAGGAAAGCATTATGAATGCTTTCCTATGCAACCGGCTGAATGCGCGCGCAGCTCTTGCTGCGCGTGCGCATTCAGCCGACGGGGCGGAATGGAGGAGGATCGGAGGCAGAGAGCTCCCCACCCAGCGCTGGAAAAAGGTACGTTTTTCCCCCTTTCCCCCTTCCAGAGCCGGGCGGGAGGGGGACCCTGAGGGTGGGGGCACCCTCAGGGCACTATAGTGCCAGGAAAACGAGTATGTTTTCCTGGCACTATAGTGGTCCTTTAACCCCTTAAGGACCAAACTTCTGGAATAAAAGGGAATCATGACATGTCACACATGTCATGTGTCCTTAAGGGGTTAAGCTAAAGATTTTTGGTGGCAATAGTTTCCCTTTAATTATGTCATCTCTGAAAATGAAAGAGGGCTGCTCGGTAAATAAGGACATATCTGCCTTATTTCATACTGTGGTTATAATAATTATGCTCCATGTGTACTTCTTGGTGCAATGTTGGAATCCTTATTTTTAATGCAAGGTCTCAAAGTGCAGCCAATTAATTCCCCATAGAAGAAGTGTAGTAGTGTACCAACAAGCTTGGAGTACTAGGCACTCAGTTAGACTAGTATCTGCTCATATCTATTGATAAGTCTAATTATACCAGACATCTAGCAGAGCCATACAAAGCAACTAATGGAGCCATACTCTTTTGTGACTAGACACACTCTTACAACAGAAATTTTAGTAATTGTGGTATGTATCAAATAAATGCATCTAGTAAGCAAAATAAAACCAAGGCAGATACAAAAACGAGATTAATTAGAAAATGGAAACTGATTAATATTAAAAAAATACAAAATAAAACAAACAAAAAAGGTAACTTAAAAAAGTTATATTGTAAACAGTGAATCTGTGAACAACAAAACGTCTACAGTGGGCAGAGTTATTAGTTGGCACAGGCTCACATGCCTGTTTCTGGGAAATTTTGCCATGAGTAATGTAATATTCTAAAGGGAAAGTTTAGGGAATTAATTCCACGCCAACTGTCTATTGGGGAGGCTGGAAATTCAGTTTTATCTCCGGGAAAATAATTTTTAGTCTTATCACATCATTTTCTACAAGTGACAAAAAGTGTCAGTGTCTGAATAGAATTTGCGATTGAAAAATGAATTCTAATGTATAAACATTTTGCAAAGTTTTTTAATTTTCATTATGCATGCAACAAAAGTCCCAGTGGACACGTTTTGGTGAGAATTTCACTGAGAGATGAAAATGGGAAACAAGTTTATTAAATGTAAAAAATACTGTCCTTATCTTAAGTCATCCTAAAAATATAGAGCATTTCAACCTCTATTGTTGTAATATACTCATATGTTAGCAAGATGACATTGGTTTCCATAGCATTTATAAAGTTATATTTTATTATAATAAACATGACTGAAACATGTATATGAAATGATTGAATGTATAATATTTAATTTAATATATATATCTTATATGTTTATTTATAGGGTCTGACAGAAACAATGATAAAGTCCTCTGATTTACGATTTAGCCTGGTATGTTTGTTTTGTTTATCTGTCTGTCTGTCTATTTATCTGTCTGTCAGACTTATTTGATACGGATATGGTGGGTTCAGTCAACCGAAGAATGAATCACCAGAGAATCCTAGAGATCTTCTGAATTAAGGTTTGTCAGAGGAAGTCTTGCAAGTGCAAGTCGATACCCCCAACAATATCACATATTAGTTGCACACATTGCACAGTTAGTGGCTTGCACACTTGTAGCGATATCTGCTCCTACTTTTCAATCTTGTCTCTGATTAAAAAAAAAAGAGGGCTACTCAATAAATAGGTGCAAGTCTGCCTTATTTGATTGTAGGAGTGTAATTGTACTCCAGCTCAGTGGTTGCTTAGGGGTGAATTCGTCAAAGTGAAGTTTCAATATGTGCGTAGGATTCATGGGGAGTCAGAGACTCCGGTAGAATTCTTGTGTTTGTGAGACTCTTTACCTTAGAAATATGAAACACAAACTAACTAAATAATGGAACCATACTAGACTTGTTCACAAATTGCTTGAAATCCCAAACTCCAAAATGCGTTTTTGGTGAATCAAAAAAACAAATAAAATGGACATTGGACAATGCACAAAATCGCTTTGTTTGATTCGTTGTTTCAGTCTGTGTGAACAACAAAAACTATTATTAATGGATAGGGGACAGCCATCAAATGATTTTATTTAAAGGTCAAGTGAGAAGTGACCAACGGAGGAACAAAAGGATAAGCAATAGAATTTTTTTTTTTATATTTTATATAATTAATAAATATAAATATAGATTATTGTTTTTTATTTTTATTTTTTTTTAAACTAATTTTTCTATTTTTCCCTTTATTGATTACTTCTCAATTTGTCTTTGAACCATTGTGGTTCATCCAAATAGGCTGGGTAGATATTAAATACAAACGTTCAATAAACAAAACACAACCAAAGAAGTAACAAAACAAAAAAAAAACTCACAAAAAAATGCAGATTTTGTGACTAAATTCCCACCAACCAGCTATTGTAAAAGCCTGAAGTATTTAATTTGCATCAAAATACTTTTCAATTGACTTATTTGAGCATTGTATACAGATGCCAAAAGATGTTAATGTTTGGAAATTTAATTCTTGAAAAAGCAGAACATGATCTTCAAGCATTTTGCAATGTTCTATTGATTTTCATTATACAGCAAATTTGCCAGTAGATATGTCTTGGTGAATTCCAGTGACACAGATAAGTAATACGTACAATAAATATAAAAAAATAGTATACTATCACTATCCTCTGGCATCTCACCCTCATAAAATACAATATTAAAGGCAGATTATATCTAATCAAATTTTAAAGGGTCATCTTACTAACACATAAATATATTGCAACAATAACTGAGGTCAAAAATATGTTCATTACCGGCCTTGGCATTTATGAAAGTTATATTTTATTACAATCATGAATTCACATTTGTTTAAAATTATGGAATGTTTAATAGTTACTTACTATAGTGCTTATACCTATCTTTTATGTCCATCTCATAGGGTCTGACAGAAACAATGATGAAGTCCTCTGATTTACGGTTTAGTCTGGTAAGTTTGTCTGTCTATCCAATCGTCTGACAGCTGTCTTTCAGTCTGTCTTTATGTCTGTCTACCTATTTGTCTATCTATCCAGGTCTCTGTCTCTCTGGCTATCCATTTTTCTTCATCTAGGCATCCATCTGCATGTCTATCCATCCAACTATATGTCTGTATGTCTGTCTATCCAACTATCCATCTGTCTGTCTGTTTATTAGGATACTTTTGGCTGCTGTAGGTCAGTAAGTTTGATTATGAAAAAGGATTCTTAGTCAATATTTCTATGTACGATACCCTGAAAGCAGGGCACATTTATTTATAAATGCAGATCAGGCAATAGCTCGACAATTCCACAAGTATTTTAGAACAATAGTTTAGTACGGCGATCCAGGAGCCATGCATTTGTACTAACACAGTGGCTACTTTAATTGCTATATTTATAGATAGTTAGATCCCTTGTGGCTCATTTATGGTAACATTTAGTAAGGTGACAACAAAATATATTTTACATAGACTGCCTATCACTTAAGCATTCGAATGTGTGTATATAATATCATTATTATATTTTAATAACAGCAAGATTTAATGTAGTAAAAAGTTTTTAAATATTGATTTGCTCTTAAAAAAAAGTGTTTTCTAATTATTTTTGCTTGAATACTTACTGTGACTTCTTGTATGCAAAATGTTATCTTCGTATAGCGCTGGATTTGAGATGATTTAAAATTGTCTGTCAGGTTTTTTTTTGTTTGTTTTTTTTATTATAAACTGAATAAAATATTTTTGCTAACCTTCAGCTTTCCCTTGGTTATGTTGGGCATGCCGCCATCAGGGACTTCAAGGAACCTGTTATTTTCTCCTGTACCTTGATAAACTCACATAGAATCAAATAGTTTTTAAAAAATAATGGGACTGGTTAGAGGCATATGACAGTAATGGTTAATGCTGGCCATAAGGAAAAGCTGATATTCACAGTGAATGTGTGGTCAACCTTTTTTATGGTTCTTGCATGGCTGACAGCAGAACTCCCTTAGGACATTATGATTCCAAATAATTATCACTATAATCTTAAGCCAACTATACCTTCATTATCTGCAGTTTGCATTTCCTGAACAGTTATTAATATATTTTTATGTTCAATATTTTTAATATTCAGATAAGTGAAGGCGCGGAGTGCATTTTCATTCCCAAAAAACTATTCCACGCAGAAGCACCTACAAAGTCCAGACATGTTGCGCAAGAGCTGATAAACTCCTTCCCTACAGAGAACAAGATCCGATCCTACTATGCTAGTCATCGAACATGGACGGCCTATAAGAACAAAATTATTGGTCAACAGTTAACTAGAGCTGTTAAACGTTAAATTAAGTGGTAGCAACAATTCAAATTCAAATAAATGGAATATATTGCCAGCTAGATAAACTATGACCTTGGAAAATAATTTCTTCTATGTGGACAGACTGCAAGGAATGTAAGGAGTTATGGCATCCATGTAATATTTTTGGAAAAGCTTTTAAAAATATTTTTTTTCAAAATGTTAAAATATCAAAAATAGATCATATATTAAACAAATACATGAAAATATGAAACATATCAAATATTAAAATATTTTTCAAAACATTAAATGATTTTACAAGTGTATCTGAAAATATTAAATCATTTGAAAAGTTTATCCAAAAATATAAAATAATTTAAAAAGTTTATCCAAAAAATTTAAATTGAGGCCTATGTGACTTGCAACAACTGTAGCTTAGCCCCCTACCACTGTAACTTTATACACTCTTTTATAATGTAGGAAGTATTTAAATGAGGACCATACTACCTGATCGTAATACTGGTAGCTGTCAATTTACGCATCATAACCAATACAGCAGAGTCTGTGGGCACCATATGGGGAAGGTGGACAAACACCTAGACCCTGGACTGCCACTTGCTCTTTTGATTATGATGCTTAGGGCGTTCCTTTAAATTACTTCAAACTGTAGTATCTCGTAGCTGATGTACACTCACATTAAAGGCGCACTATAGTTACCAAAATAACTTCAGCTTAATGAAGTAGTTTTAGTGTATAGATCATGCATCCTAAGTTTCACTGCTGAATTCACTGCCATTTAGGAGTTAATTAAATCCCCTTTGCTCTTGTCTATGCAGCCCTAGCCATACCTCCCCTGGCTGTGATTCACAATGGTTTTATTTTAAATCCTGTTAACTTTAAAAGCTTTTACCTTCTACTGTAGATGGAATTTTAATTGCATACTGAAGGCTCCTGTAGGGTCTAGCAAGCTATTAACAGAACAGGAGATAAGTAATTCTAAATAAAACAGACTGTGCAATAAAGGAAGTGTAAACATTAGATGACTCTCTACAGGACGTATTTAGGAAGGCTGTGGTAGTCACATACAGAGAAGTGTGCCTAGGGCTGTATAAACAAAGTAATTTAACTCCTAAATAGCAGAGAATTGAGCAGTGAGACCGCAGGGGCATATTTGTATACCAAGACGGATTTATTAAGCTAAAGTTGTTTTGATGACTATAGTGTATCTATAAGCCAGTTTGAAGCTTGTATAATATATTTAATGATGACAAATTACCACAATGTCAAACAATTTAAGTTGTGCTATGAACGGCACCATTCTTAACATCCTTTCTCAATTTAAAACAACATTATTTACATCGTTCTTTACAAAATGTCTTAGGTTTGATTGTGGGGTAACAACATAAAACAGACTGTAGAACCACCTTTGTACATTGGAACCAACTACTGTGATCTTAAATATGTAGGCACGATTCCAATCTTCTTTCACTGGGTGCTTCTCATAGTCATAGTCAATCACTTATAATCCATTTATTGATAAAAAAATAACCTTCTCTGTTGTGGCACTGAAATGATTATTGTTATTATTATTGCCATTTATATAGCGCTTCCGTACAGATTCCGTAGCGCTTTACAATATTATGAGAGGGGGGATTTAACTATAAATAGGATAATTACAGGAAAACTTACAGGAATGATAGGTTGAAGAGAACCCTGGTCAAATGAGCTTACAGTCTATAGGAGGTGGGGTGTAAAACACAATAGGACAGGAAATAGCAATCAAATAAGGTGAGAGTGAAGCAGAGCTGGAGGAGAGAGTAAAGTGCTGCCCTTTAGGAGAGAGCAAGAAATAGGTATGTAAGGTAGAGGTTTCTCTGAGAGGCCATAAGCTTTCCTAAAGAGATGGGTTTTAAGGCACTTTTTAAATGATTGAAGACTAGGGGAGAGTCTGATGGCGATAGGCAGGCTATTCCATATGAAGGGAGCCGCCCGTGAGAATTCCTGCAAGCACAAGTTGGCCATACGGTGCGAGCAGCGGACAGGAGAAGGTCACAGGCATAGCGGAGAGACCGAGAAGGGGCATACCTATGGATCTGTAAAGAGATGGGTTAGCACTTTGAATTGACTCCTATAGGACACAGGAAGCCAATATAAGGACTGACAGAGAGGTGAGGTGTGAGAGGACCCACTATAGAGGAAAATCATTACAGACTGTAGCGGAATAATACGTCTTTTGGGAAGACCAATTAGGAGAGGGTTACAATAATCCATGCAGGGAATTACTAGAGCATGCACAAGCTCCTTGGTAGCATCTTGCGTAAGAAAGAGGCGGATGCGGGCTATGTTTCTAGAAAGGAATCTACAGGATTTGGCAACATACTGGATGTGAGGCTCAAAGGTGAGGCCAGAATCAAGTGGACTTATGTGGATACCACTAATTTGAAGGGAGAGTGAAAGAGGAGGATCAGTATTAGGAGAAGGAAAGACGAGCTCAGTTTTAGAGAGATTGAGTTTCAGAAAGTAGGAGGACATCCAGTCAGAAATGGAAGAAAGGCAAGCAGTGACACGTTGCAGGACGGCAGAGGAGAGGTCTGGGGAGGAGATATAGCTGGGTGTCATCAGCGTACAGGTGGTAGTGGAATCCAAAAGAGGTAATATGTTTGCCAAGAGAGGCAGTATAAAGAGAAAATACAAGGGGACCAAGAACAGAGGGCCTCCAACCGAGACAGGATGAGGGGAGGAGGTGTCATTAGAAAAGGAGACACTGAATGAGCATTGGGAGAGATAAGAGGAAAACCACGAGAGGACAGAGTCACAGAGACTGAATGATTGAAGAGTTTGAAGAAGGAGAGCATGATCAACGGTGTCAAAAACAGCAGAGAGGTCAAGAAGAAGTAGTATGGAGTAGTGGCCTTTGGATTTAGCTGCGATTAGGTCGTTAGTAACTTTGATAAGAGCAGTTTCAGTAGAGTGGAGAGGGCGGAAGCCAGATTGAAGAGAGTCAAGGAGAGAGTTGGAATTGAGGTAGTTAGACGTACGAGTAAAATCAAGTCTTTCCAGAAGCTTTGAGGAGAAAGGGAGCAGGGATATGGGACAATAGTTAGAGGAGGAGGACGGGTCAGCAGGGACAACGCCAGAAGAGAGAGCAGTTGAAGATGTGTGTTAAGAAAGGCGCAAGACAAGGAGAGAGAGATCTGATAAAGTGAGATGGGACAGGATCAAGCCTAAAGTGGTGGGGCAAAAGGAAAGGAGAAGAGCAGCCATCTTTTGTTCAGTAGCCGGGGAGAAAGTCTGAAGGGTAGAAAAGGCATGATCTACGTGTGGGACAGGAGAGGGAAGGGATGGATAGCAGTTGTGAATCAATATCAGCTGACAGCTGCTGGAGGTCAATAGAATTAAGGTTCCTCCTGAGTTAAGGGGGGTTAAGCTGAGGTTGTTTGGTGGGGGTGTACTCGAGAGCAAACGATAAGAGGTGGCGATCAGACAGAGGAAATGGAGTGTTGCAGATATTAGATACTGTACATGCAAAAGAGAAGATGAGGTTGAGGGTATTGCCATCTACATGTGTGGGAGAATTAGCCCACTGAGATAGCCCGAGGGAGGAAGTAATTGAAAGTAGTTTAGAGGCTGCTGAGGTCAAAGGTGGGTTAATGGGAATATTAAAGTTCCAGAGAATTAGGGATGGAATATAGGAAGACAGGAAATAGGGTAGCCAGGCAGCAAAGTGGTCAAGGAAGAGGAGAGGGGACCCAGGGGGGCGATAAATAAAAGCAATGTTAGCAGAAAAGGGTTTAAAAAGGCAAATCAAATTAATTTTGAATGATCAGAAAGAGAGGGAAGGGGGAAGGGGGGTGGGGAGATGTTTGAAGGAGCAGTGAAGTGAGAGGAGAAGCCCTACACCACCACCTTTACATTTAGAGTGTCTTGGTTTGTGGGTAAGTTGAAGACCACCAAAGGACAAAGATGCAGGGGTAGCAGTGTCAGAGGGGGAGAGGCATGTTTCTGTTAAGTCTAGTAAATATAGGGAACAAGAGATGAAGAGGTCGTGGACAGCAGTGGATTTTGTAATATTGCAAACAAAGAGTGTATTCCAGAGAGCAGTATTGAAGGAGGATTTAGAGGAAGAGTAACGTGACATGGGTATGAGATTGGTGTGGTTCCTTGAGTTAGTAGGTGGTGAGTTTGCTGAGATGGGACCGGGGTTTGGAGAGACATCGACCAGCTGCTAGGAGCAGTAGGATAGAAAGGAAGTGAAGGTGGGAGTAGAATTTGAAGGTTTTGTAGGAGGGTATGTGCATAGAGGATTTGGGAGGAGTTGGAGGAGATAGGCTGGAAAGGTATATGTAGAGTGCATGGGATGAGTAGAGAGGGGAGGGGAGTAAGGTAGAAGTAATGAAGGTGGCGTTGCCAGGGACAGGTGAGCAGAAAGATAGGGATATTTTAGTAATGAGTGAAGTTAGTTTGAAAGTGAAAAATAGAAGGGAGAATATTATTTAGATAAAATGTGTTTTGTTGTACAGTTATGAAGATAATACATATGCACATATATAATCATAGGCATATATATACACAAAGTCCTATGAGTGATTAAACCATGGTTAAGGGTGCATTTTGTTAAAGAAGGATTTCACCTGAGGAGAGGTTTAGTGACTTGATTGGTGTGTTTTGAAAACCAGCTGATCTGCACTATCTATAAGTATGGTAATGACCATGGGGTGGATGGATGGGTGGGTGGTGTGGGAAGGGAAGGGTGGGTAGCCTTCCTTCCAGAGATGATACCTCTGCTTAGAAGATTCTGCAGGGCTTGGTTGCTTGTGTGTACTGGGTGTAGTTAATCAATGCTGTTTTTAGGGGCCTAGTCTGAAATTTAAAGTCTGGGGTTAGGAAAAAAAAAAAAAGAAAAAGAAAAAAAACACACCATTATGGGTCGGAGACATGGAGATATTGAGGTAATAAGAGATGAAAAACCAGAGGAGATAACACTTGAGATAAAAAGATGTGAAGGATCAGATAGGTGAAAGTCATAAACAGTGAGCATAAATTTACAAGATTATCAGTGAAAGAACTATCACTAGCTAAACAAACAATTAACAAAAAAAAGTCATAAAGAAAGAACATAAAATAAAAAGGTGGGAGGTGGAATAGAACACATTTTTAAATTAAGAAATAAAAGGAAACCATAAGTAGTACAGGAATTCTTGAATAGATCTTCCAGAGATGATACCTCTGCTTAGAAGATTCTGCAGGGCTTGGTTGCTTGTGAGTACCGGGTGTAGTTAATCAATGCTGTTTTTAGGGGTCCAGTCTCTGCTTAGAAATATTGTTGTGGCTTGTCTGGCCAGGCAGGCTGATTTACGTACCCTACCTGGTGTTTTACATCTAGTAGGCCATTACACCCATTAAGTATACTAAATATGGCAGAAAGATACTTTTATACATGAGAATTTTGCATGTGTTTGGGTTATCTTGCTATAATTTTGAAGAAAAGCTCATGTACACTCATGGTTTATCTGGTTATCACTAGATAGAACAGTGTATTTATTTACATAGGCATGTTTTAAGTAAGGTTTAAGTGGTAATGTTCTATAGGTGCACACCCTCATGTAATGTGCTACATAAACCTATCCTTGATGATCAGTTTACTAGTGTCTGATGCTATATTTGTTCCGTAGCGGTTGTCTTAGTCTTAGTGACTATTCTGGACATCGCTACATACATATATTATGTAATCAACAGGACTGCCGTTTTTCAATGTTATTTCATTATTCATTTTTCATTACTGACACAAAATGTAAGTAAGAATAGTAAAATTATATTTATTTGATATAGGAATCAGTTGGCCATTAAGAAAGATCACTTGAATTCTGCTTTTTTGTTAGTAGTGAATAGAAATACGGATATATTTGTGAAGCACTCTCTCATAAAATTGTCTCTAAACCCAGAAGAGAGCCATCGTCATGTAAAATTGTTAGTGACTTAATTAGTAAAATATTGCACTATCAAGCAGTCATTTCTAATGTTTAGAAAGTCATTTGAAATCTCTTTAGACTCAAAAGCAATTTACTTGTCAATTTATTAAATGAAGCTGAGATAATATATTGCAAATCAAGCTGTTAAAGCATATCTGGTTACCCTTGTTAAAAAAGTTTTATTTTGCTTGAATTAATTAGATTACTGTTAGCCGAATAAGGTGAAAGAACTTGCTGAACTAAATGTATTTTAATTAACACATTTCATGCATTTAAAATTAATTAGCATTATGGTACATGTGTAAGATCATTGTTAATTAGTTTTTGTTGAATGTTACCTACTTATTGTCCAATCCTGACAATGTTACAGTTTCTCCTTATTTTAATTATTCCACACTCCCATCCGAGATTCGAAATAATTTGCTAAACCCTGAGCTTTTGGTATTGGGACATCTAATCTTGAGAGGAGCCTCGGGCACCTTTGCACGAGCTTTGCTTAAATTCAGGTAAAATAAAACAACAACTTTCATAATCTCAAAAGAGCCCCCAAAATATTGCACAAAAAAAGATTAATTATTGCATTTTTGTTCTATTTTGTCAATGATATACACTATATTAATGTGAAAACATAGTAATTAAAAGTCCATCTAGAAAATAGATGTATGTCATCAAGTTAGACACACTTTATACTTGCAAGTGTCTACAACACCTTATAACAACTTTTTATTACAAATCTAATATTTAAACTTACCTTGTTGGTACCTATTTTAGCGCTATTTATAATATTCTCTAAGTGAATAGAAAGGTTTGAAATAATCAATAAATATTGGAGACAACTATGAAAAGCCTGTAAAAAAAATATTATTTAAAACTTTGTGTCCTCAGGGCCCTTTCAAAATAATCAAAAGTCATACTCAGAATTCGATGGTGGAAAGGACTATAATCTGAAGGTCATTTATGGAATTGCTGACCAGCCTGTCGAACTAGCACCACCTAATATTTCTTGATTACGAGTGGCGATAATGTGTTTTCTTTCTAAATTTCCCCAACAACCAGTTAACTGTTTACTAGTATTCAAACAGTATAGAATCATTATAAGATAATTTGTAATGGTGTATATGATTGCAGTGTGGAGAATAGAGTTGAACCTTATTCTGTGACTCTCATTTCTTAGAACATTGGGGGTGAAGGTGGGTTTCTCCTTGTTCTTTGGCGTGTTATTTGTATACTCAGTACTAGTAATGAATCACTCCCCAAGCTATAAAAACAATATTTTACTTTTAGGGAACGTATAAAAAAAAAAGTATCCTGTACAAACAGGTGCTATCCATTAATAAAAGAATAGATGAGACTGCCTTAGATTTAATTCGGCAAATAAAAACATTTTCTGAATAGTTTTACATTTGAATTTCATGTTAACAGAGTACCTTGGGCTTTGTCAGGTGTAACCTAATTTCAGAATGTGATGTATATTCTTTTCCTGCATCTCAAACCATACATAACTGTACAACAGTAACGGTGTCAATATTTTTAAAGGTATTAACTAATTGCGCATGGTGAAATAGGACCCCGAAACATCTTATCTTTTGGATCACTGCATTGCAGAGCAGCTGAAGCAGAATCGTAATATATATTCCCTCGGGATCCTTTTGTTTAAATATGACAACCTGTAACTAACATAAGATTTTTGACAGATCCCAATATGCAGAGAAAAAAGTAATACTTTTTTTTTTTGTGTTGATGACCACAAAATATCCTAAATAGTTCACTATTCCCTAATTCCTTATTTATTTATTTTTTAAGCTGAATCATTCCGAGTCTCCCACAAAAATATTTAACTTGGCATGGGAGTTTACCTTTCACTCTGACATTATGGGTTTCTGGTTTGGTACCGAGTCTGGATTCTACTTTGAACTTGAGAGATGATGATAACCAGGACTTATCAATGCCCCACTCACATTTTTCTGAGTGGGGCTAATTTGTTAATCATCTTTCCATTTTTCTGTTTGCTTTCCGTCCAATGTGCTCTTGGAATGGAGCCGAGGTCATATTCTAGTATTTTTCTTCATTAAGTCAAAAATTGTCCATGATTGTGCACAGGCCAGATTAACATAGGGGCTGATGGAGCTGCAGCTCCAGGCCCATGCCCTTAGAGTAGGCCTATGGAAAAATATATATATATATTTTTTTACTACTCTTCAACTGCTCTTGCTTAAAAGGACTCTCCAGTGCCAGAAAAACAAACCCGTTTTCCTCACACTGCAGAATCCTACAGTGCCCCTCTCCCTCCCATGTTGCTAAAGGGGACGCTGGAGGTCCTCATGCATAGCGTGAGGACGTCCAGCGTCGTTTAAAACACTTTTCGTATTTTACAAACCCGGAGGTCCCTCTGATAGACAGCCACTAGAGGAGGACTTAACTCTGCAAGGTAATTATTGCAGTTTATAAAAACGGCAATAATTACGCTTGCAGGGTTAAGGGTGATGGGAGGTGGCACCCAGAACACTCCAATGGGCAGAAGTGGTCTGGGTGCCTGGAGTGTCGCTTTAAGTATGGAATCTTAAGAGGGGTGTAGGGGAACAAAATGTGTGTGGACTGGCTGACAATGAAAATAGTTAAGGTAAAGCTGACTTTGCACCTTATTCAAATACTCTTGCTGCTTCAGTCTCTCTAACACTGTAGCATGTTCCATTTCTTCTACACTCACTCTACACTTCTACTTTTTTCTGTACCAGACTGTATAACAGATGCTTCTGCCTGCTAGTAAGAAGGTAAGGAAAGGAGTGGACAAGTGAGTGCTAGGGACAGTTCTTAGAAAGCGTGGAGGGAGCACATCATTAGATGCATTTATGCCAAGCTCAGGATGCTATCTGCAGGAAGCAATCACGTCAGGCTGACCTAATTCTTCAGGCAGACACACCAACTTGTGGGCATGTTTGTCCCTTTGAGTGGTTTTGTTTACGAGATTTGCATCAGTGTTCCACCCGTTTACCCAGCCCACCGAAATCCTGCTTCACTGGACACTGCCCCTATCGGGCATTGATTTACTTAAAAGCAAGAGATTAGCAGAGTGTATGTGTTTTCTTACAACTATATCCAGTGAGATTCCCTCCAGCACCACCTCCACTAGGTATATGTCGCTTGGGAGGTACGATTGTTTTAGGATTTTCTGTCTATATGATTCTGTAATTAGGCCCATCATAACTGTCAGTACTAGGCCCAATAGGCTCTTAATCTGGCCACAAGTGTGCAAATTGTACAGGTCTTTGTTGGCGGAGGACGAGAGCATTAGCGGACACTGCCAGCCTGTAAATGATATGAGAATAAGGAACAAAACTGATATTGCTGAAGCAGAATGGAAACTTATGTCTAGCTATATCTATACGATCAGGGGTAACGAGGGACCCAGGAAGGTATCACACTGCATGAAAAGAGTTTGACATTTAAGTTGGGACAGCCCCTTGACTTGTTACTTTAGACACCATAACCATATATGATAACTTTATACAAATATATTCGGGGCCGGTACAAACCTTTATCTGGAAATCTATTCATAAACAGGGCTATACATAGGACACGAAGTCACACATTTAGGCTGGAAGAAAGGAGATTTCATCTAAGGCAAAGAAACGTTTTTTTTTACAGTAAGAGCAATAAGGATATGGAATTCTCTGCCTGAAGAGGTGGTTTTGTCAGAGTCACTACAGAGGTTTAAACTGCAATTGGATAAATACTTACAAAAACATAACATACAGGGATATAATTTCTAATTAGTGGGGTAATAGCTGCTTGATCATCCAAGGAGACATCTGACTGCTATTTTGGGGTCAAGAAGGAATTTTTTCCTAGTTTGTGGGAAAATTGGAAGCACTTCAGACTAGGTTTTTTGCCTTCTTTTGGATCAACAGCAACAACATGTGTGAGGAAGGCTGAACTTGATGGACACAAGTCTCTTTTCAACTATGTAACTATGTAATCACTACAATGACTGCAGTGTTTATGGTGCATGGACTGCCTCTTTAAGTATAATTCTGTAGCGGTTGAAATTAAACATACAGGATCTGTCTGGTCACTTGTTCAACATATTTGCTAATTTACATGTAAGAAAAGTATAGTACCAAGAGGCCCTAAAAAGTATCAACATTTTATATAAAAAAAAAAATCTGTCTGAAATAAATCACAGGTGCACTTACTTGCATTTAAAAATATTGAACTTAAACTGACATGCTAACTTGTCAAGATAATTCTGTTATTCATCAGAAGAGAGGAAATTAAAGGACCACTATAGTGTCAGGAAAACAAACTCGTTTTCCTGGCATTATAGTGCCCTGAGGGTGCCTCCACCCTCAGGGTCCCACTCCCGTGGCGAGGAAGGGGTTAATCCCTTACCCTTTTTCCAACGCCGGGCTCCCTCGGTGCTGGGACTCTCCTCCCTCTTCTGACATCCCTGGCTGAATGCGCATGCGCGGCAAGAGCTGCGCACGAATTCAGCCAGTCCATAGGAAAGCATTCTCAATGCTTTCCTATGGACACTGGCATCTTCTCACTTTGAAAATCACAGTGAGAAGCACGGAAGCACCTCTAGTGGCTGTCAATGAGACAGCCACTAGAAGCTGGATTAACCCATAGGTAAACATAGCAGTTTCTCTGAAACTGCTATGTTTACAGCAAAAAGGGTTAAACCTAGCTGGACCTGGCACCCAGACCACTTCATTAAGCTTAAGTGGTCTGGGTGCCTATAGTGGTCCTTTAAGGAACAATTCATATTATCATGCAGAACTTTTCCATACTCTACAATTCTATACGTTTCTTATATATTGATGGAACATGAAACAGCTTTGTAAGTGCTAATTATCCATATTTAATTTCTGCTTAATTTAAAGTAGTCGATGTTGATATATCAGGTGCAATCCAATTAATTAGTGTTATTCAGAAATACACAATTAACTACTGGGCATTTATTAATATACTCAATTAGCTATGCCAGAAATAACTGGTAGTATAAAAATGGCTGTATTTAATTACCTGCAAAAGGCATTTCTGAGTATCTGTTCATGTACATTGTTGATACATTGAGCCATTTTAGTATTCTCAACTGCTGGAGGGAGTATTGATGTGATTTTGATATTCTATGATTTAACCCTCTCCCAATTTTAGGACTGTATCTCAGTAGATAGATCCCCAGGCACTGCTAAGATCTGTTCTGGACTGGATAATGATTAAATTGATAACTGGTGTTCCTGGTAATCATTAGGCAGTTTATTGTAACAGCTATTGACCCATGGTATGGCACCATTGGAATTATTGAATACCAATCTGCAGAATGCCAATTTAATCCTTTATTGGTCATTGGCATTATCTGTGGTTATTACAATCTGTTTTAAAGACCTCATTCCAGCATAAAAAGCCCTGCTTATTTAGCATCAGCAACTACGCACATCCCTACAATCATTAAATGAGCAATAGACGTTGCACTTGGGACATATATTTTGTTTAAAGGCAGTATAATAGGATGTTAGAAAAATTTATAGAAACCCTGAACTCCTTTTACCCTTGGAGGGCTTCCTTGACTAAAAAAATCAGCCTTGACATTGGAACCACCAAAACATAAGACATATAAGATAAAACAGATTATCAGATAAAACACATATTGTAGTCCTCAGCACAAAATATTATTAGTCTTGAGCAGAATAATTAACTATAGTATTCAACCTTAATGTATAGGTGTAATTAACCAATAAAAGGTTTGTTATATTATAAGATGTAATTCACAA